ATTTAAAAAAAAAGAATCATAAACTCTAGCAGCCACCCCATGACTGCATGAGGCTTTAGCGGGACACCTAGACACAAACCAAAACACCAGGCAAGCACTTATGCTGCTGAACTACTTCCCTGGCCCCTAATTTTTTTTTTTTTACAGAATACAAAATGTTAAAAAAAAATTAGGACAATAAAAGATTCCATTAAACTAATAGGAAGTAATCAATGGTGGTCATATTGCATAACATTATCTTCAAATTAGTTGTTTAGGTTAGTAGATATAAACCTGAGACATTGGTTTGAAAGAGTTATAAGAAATTAAAAAGAGAAAAGAAATTTAAACATTAACTAACTGCTCCCTTCAGTAGACCAGCAGAAATCAGCAGTGCAGTCATCCAAGCTACCCTGCATATACACATAAATATATCATTTTCCTTTCTTTCTCTAGTCCTTTTCCTCATCCACGTTTTTCTTTCCCATTGAACAGATTCTTTCCCTTTTGCAGTATCTTTTGTACCTTTCAGATTTCATTTACTCTTTCAGGTTCTCAAACTAGTGAGACAACACAGTATCTACACATGCAAGTCTGATTTATTTCACTTACCAATACAATCTACTTGCACCCATTTACCTATAAAATCCTCAGATTTATCTTTCTTTGTAGCTGAGTAATACTCCATTGTACATTGGCCCTTCATTGTATATATATTAAAAAAAAAACAACCCACATCTTTTTTATCCATCCCTCAGTTGATGGACATGTGGGTTGTTCCCAAGAAGTAGCTATGACAAGTCGTGCTGCTCTAAACATGGCTGCATGCATATGACTGTGGTATGTTTTCAGTTCTTTTGGAAAAATACCTAGGAGAGGAATAGTGTTGGGAGCTGAGGAAGCTAGGAAATTGATCAAATGTGTATAGGCGGGACTAGGCCTCAGTGCCTAAAGCAGACAAGCTATTTCAGTGCTGAGATAAATATCCTGTCTGGTAAAAGTCAGTTATTAGTCATTAGGCAATCTTGTGTCATGTGTTACTGACTTTGCAAAAGTATAAATAAAGGATCATTTTGTTGTGTGTTGTGTTAGTCTTGCCCATCCGGCAGACCAGCGACCACCTAATCCAGCTTTTGGCTTCTGTCTTTCTCATTCCTGCCTCTCTTTCTCCCCAGGTAGAACTGATCACAGTGAGACCAACTGATCCCTACAGAATAGCTGGCTTACATGGGACCACCAGTCCTAGCTTTTTTTAGGTATCTCCGAGAGAAATCCATTTTTAATTACATAGTAATTGTTGCCTCACTTTAGTTTGAGAACAAAATTCTAACAGTCCCCAAAATGCATCACTTCTACTCATTCTTCCCCCATATGGCTTCTATTTAGGTATGGAGCCATTTCAGCCCAGGTGTACCCCACTTCAATGAGTAGCCCCCATTTCCTCCTTTCCTCAGAGCCTCCTTAGGGTCGCCATCACATTGACCCACAGCATTGTTGTGTAATAGTCCAGCCCTGCCCTTCCATTGACCAAGCCTACGGCTAATCAGGGAGCTCCTGTCTGAAGAGCAGTCTTGCCTGCCTCCTACTTGACTGCACTTCTTGGGCCCAAGCTCCCTTACTCATAGGGCCCTCCGGAGCCCAGAATCTCCTGCCTGGTGCTCTGTGCCTATCCGCACACCGGGCAGTGCTGTCCCCCATCTGCTGCTCCCAAGACCCACCAAGGTGGCACTTCACCGCCTCAGAAGTTGTTATCCCCAGGAAGGTGCCCCACAGAATGAATGGAAGCAAGACGCCAGACCAGCTCTCCTACAGCATGCGCTTCCGCAGCCAGAGGCACGTGATCCACATGAAGCTCAAGAAGAACTTGCTGCCCGAACACTTCCCTGTTCCTACCAACAATGACCAAGGGGCCATGCAGGAGGACTACCCCTTTGTCCCTCAAGACTGTTACTACTACAGCTACCTGGAGGGGGTTCCTGGCTCTGCAGCCACGCTGGACACCTGCTCTGGAGGTCTGTGTGGCATGCTGCAGGTGGATGACTTTACTTATGAAATCAAGCCACTAGAGTCTTCTTCCAAATTTGAGCATGTAGTTGCTCAGCTTGTGTCAGAGGAAGAAGAAAAGTGTGACTTTCAGGAGGATGAGGCCACCTCACAGACAGTCCAAGAGCTGCCCCTATTTGTGGTGGGTACATACAAAATGGTTGCATCATCAGTACACAATAAGTAACTCACTCTGGCTTCAGCAGAAAAATCACTCCGATATTGTAGAGAATGTAGTGGCTATAAGTAGCATTTTTAGACCCATGGGCTTGAATATACTCACACATGTTTTGTGCACGTGGCAAGGGGCTGATCCCCTGAAATTATTAATAGATTTTTCTTGCACCAAGTGGTAGATTGATTTGGTTTCTGGAAACAACGTGGGTGGTATTGGAAGATTCCTTATGCTACTTCAGTACTTTTTACAGGACACAAGATAGGATCATCCTTTATTATCCTAACATTAATGGTATATGCAACCCCAATTGGGGAGGAATACGTGTTTATTTCAGGGTATCATGTATTTCTGGGTTCAGCAATCTAGCACATGCAACAGGTCATAACCTAGCAATGTCACGTGAATACTCAGGTTGTGCCTGAGGACCAATTGTCGTCTGGCTTGTGTGCCTAGTCTTTATGATAGATGAAGTAATTGTTCTTTTACAGCACTACATAAAATAATTCATAGTTGGGATCCTTGTTTGACCTGAGTTTATCCTCCATACAATAATTTTTCTTGTGTAGCTCCTCGTTGTGGAGATAAAAAATAACAGCGAGGAGTGTGACTGCAGGTTCCTTAAAGAATGTGCCTTGGGAGATAGCTCGGTGGTCTAGATGCCTGCCTGGCAAGCGCAAGGACCTATGTTTGATCCCCAGTACCACATGCTGTGCTGGCCCCACTCCAGGCACATGGAGCCAGCCACCCAGACTGGGTATAGTGGCGCATGTGCATCATCTCAGCTCTGGGAAGGCTAAAGACAGGAGGATCACTATGAGTCTGAGCTGCGTAGCAAAACCCTGTATCAAATACATAGAAAAAAAGAAGAAGAAATGAAGTGTGCCTCAAATAAGTGTCATGGAACCAGTTGTTTTTTCACTCTTGGCAGTGTGTGTGAGATGGAGAGGGTGCTGCATGGACTATAAATATCCGAGCCCTGGAGCCATGGGCAGAGACACACTTGGTATTTGTGATCTGCCAGGATACTGTGATGGGAAAGGGGAAATATGCCCCAGTGACTTTCATATCCAAGGTGGAACCCCAAGTTCACCAGTAGTGCTCTATATGAGAGGAAACTACAGTGACCGTGATTTGTAATGTCAGACTCCCTTTGGATACAAAGTAAAAGATGCTGCACCAGCATGCTATGACACTTCGAACGTAATAGGTGACCGACCTGGAAACTGTGGACTTAGGGAGCTGAGCCTGGGAAGTGTATCTAGTGAATGTGAAGCTGATGGTGTTCTTTGTGGAATACTGTACTGTAACCATCCTGAAGCCCTGGGCGGGGGGACAAACACACTACATTTCATTATTTAATGGTGCAGGATGTTAAATAGAAACCCTGCTTTGGTTATGATGTTACACCTTGAGATGGAGTTAGCAGGAATAGCACGTAGAGTCGGTGGTGCATCCTGTGGCCCAGGAAAATTCTGTCATCGACAGAACTGCACTTTTCATCAAGACATGAACATTGACTGTGATGTACAGAAGTGTAATTACAGAGGAGTGTGCACTAAGAAGAAAAAAAGAGCCACTGTGCACATGGTTTTAAACGACCAGATTGTGCAGAGAGAGGAACAGGCGGCAGTGTGGACCGTGGTCCTCCACCTGACAGAATAGAAGGTTTTCCAGCCCCAAAAATGTTTGCCATAAAATGAATATTATTTCTAAGTTATTATTAGGTTTGGTCTTTTGCTGGCTTCAGTTCTTTGGAGGACTTGCAAACTAAAAGGGCTATAGAAAAGAAAGTACAAAAAAAAATTTAAAAAAAAGAAAAGAAAGTACACCAGGGCTGGGGAGATGGCTCAGTAGAATAAGCGCTTGCCTGGCAAGTGCAGGGCCCTGAGTTCAATCTCCAGTACCACCAAAAAAAAAAATATTGAGAAACAAATAGCAATGAGACAGTTTCAAAACTGATTACTAGCACAGTTTCAATAATTAATACATTGCATATTGTTGTCTTAGTGGTTATGCATTGTATAGGATGCAGACATGATATCCTGTCTACAAACATTATTAGAACAAATCTCTCTATTCATTGAATTAAGAGAATGCAGCTGTATATCTATTCTATTTTGAATATACAGATACAAAATGGTTGTTCATTTGTATCCCC